TCCCTCCCTCCCTCCCTCCCTCTCTCTCTCTCTCTCTCGCATACACACACACGGGCTTCCCAGACCACGGCCCTAAGTAGGGGCTCCCTTCTTTTTTTCCGCACTGAGACTGACGTTTTTTCATTGGTTTCAACCGGTTACAGCAGCCGCAGCAGCACCAGCAGCAGCGCGGTTCCGATGCTAGGTGCCGTAGTTGATACAGTGACAAACCACACCACACCAAACGCGCGCACGCCGACCACCACACGTGTTGCAGGCGGCTCGGGGTGCGGGGAACTCGGGTCGGCCACCTGCTGCTACGACAACATCATCAGCGCGGGGCTGGTCTGCGGCGTCGACGTCCTGGAAGCCCCGTGCATCATTATCAACTACACGCCGGCCCCCCTCGCGGAAGGCGTGACGGCCCCGGCCACCGCCGCTCCCGCGACAGCGGCTCCCTTTACGGTGTCTCCGGGCACGGCGGCTCCCGTACCTGCGGCACCGGCGGCGGAGACGGAAGCGCCGTCGACTCCGGCTCCTGTTGCGACGGAGTCCCCGGTGTCGCGGGGCGACGTCGGCGTGCCGACGCCGTCTCCTGGGGGGTCGGAGGCGCCGCAAGAGTCGGTGCCGCCGTCCGTTACGCCGCCGGTGGGGGGAGCGGTGGGGACGACTCCAGCTCCCAGCGCTCCAGGTGTGTTGGGTGGGTGGGGGGGGAGTGTTTCTTTTGGCCGTTACAACACTCGCAGCATTCACCGCGGGGATCTGCTGACCAGTGAAAAGGGGTAGGGCGAAAATGCTGCCGTAGCAGTAGTGAGCGTTTGTACGTGTGCCTCCCACCCCCAAGCGTTGCCGGTGGGACGACCCCGCCCGGTTCTTTTGTCTCGCCGACGCTGTCCTACAAACATGCAAACCTCCCCCCGTTGTCTCTCCCCGCACGGATGTGATGTGGTGCCACTTCAGAGTGTGACGACGGCATCGAAGGCTTTCGTCACGGAGTCGCGTGCTGCTCGGTCTCGTGCGGCCAGTGCGGCGGGGCGGGGTGCGAGAACCTCGAGGGAGGCGCGTCGGAGTGCTGCTCGCACGACGTCCTCGCCACCAACAATTTGTGCAGCGAGTCGGGGGTGGCGCCGTGTGTCCTAGGCCCGGGTACGTTACAGCACGCGGCGTGGCTTTTCTCCGGCTTTTGGGGTGTGGAGAGGGGCGGGTCGATGTTGTCGCGTGTGACGGAACGTGTGAGTTTTTGTGAAGAGTTTTGATGTGTCGGGTCCACGTATAAATTAGAGCTTTTGCGCTTGGATCTTCCCGCCGTCTACGCATCCCATCACGCCAAGAATGCAGCCCCACGATAACTCAAGTCTCGAGACTGATGACCACCGGCAAGCATGGCAACGACGAGGTAACCCCCCACCCCCACCCCCGCTGTTTTCTCTTTCTGTTTTCCTGCCGATCGACCAAACAAAAAAGTGAGCCAAGTGGATGGGGCTGCCGACGCCGATACGACCACGAGCTCAGGGGAGGCCGCGAACAGGATAGCGGGGGGGGGGAGAGGAGTACGAGTGTTGTTGGTGCTGCCTTGGGCTGTTTCCGCGCTGATAAACACGGCGGGCTTTCGTCTGTACAACTATTAGCGAACTGATGATGTCTTCTGTCGCGGGAGTAGAGGGGGGAGGCGTTGTCATTTTTTTGGCTGTACAAGTAGCTGTAAGAGGCTGGATGGATGATGCGAGAGCGGAGCTGAACCAGTCCAACATTGCGAGGAGGGGCCTTGGTGTCTTCTGTTTTACTTGCTATGAGCGTTTTATCGTTTTGTGTGTGTCGTGCGGTGCCTGTTGAGGGGGGGGAGGGGGGGGGGGGCTCGGGGAATGTCCCGCCCCGCTGTGTGGAAGGTAATGTTTGNTAATGTCCCGCCCCGCTGTGTGGAAGGTAATGTTTGATTTTCTTTTGGCCTCCCCGTCGGGGCGGTGGATTCGGCCTCTTT